TATGGTGGAGGTTTTAGGGTTAGCAGCAGGATTAGGGGAAGAATTGTAAAATAATCTGCTTCTTCCCCTCTGTACGTGCGGCAGGGGCAGGCGCCAAAAGGGCTCCTCTGTTGCTACACTATAGCCGTGGCAGGGGCATGCGCCGAAAGGCTCCCCTGCCGCACTATAGCCACAGCAGGGACAGACGCCAAAGTCAGTCTTGCTGTCACATTTAGTCACTGTAGCAGTATGACAGTCTGACATATCTGTGTACTAGGATTAGATGGGTAGAGTTGTATATATAGCTTCCCACTGCAACTCATTAAAGAGCGAGAGAGATCAGTTTTGGCATCTCCTCTGTAGAGCTCCGGCGAATGCTAGTGCTTGTGCTGTGTGTGCGCGCTCTGTTCTCCCTCCCTCTTCTACCTCCAGCCGTAGTATGTGTGGTCGGCAACGACGGTGAGCGGTCGGCTCACCCGTGCGAAAGATCTCGGGACCAACAGGACCTAGGCTGCTGATTGCAGCGCGTCAGCTATCCTACATTATTTTACTCGTATGCTATCGTTACAGTATTACTCTCACAACATATGTACTTCCAAAATAAATGTCGCTATCACAATACTTCCAAATAAATGTAGCGGTATTCATGACTAAGTTTATAGAAAATATTAGCAACATTTATATCTCCAAATAAATTTACTAAAAATAGCTTCAACGATCTATCTAATGATATCATTTACTATAAATACTAATATTTTCTTATATATATTTGGTTAAAGTTAAAAGCATTTGACTTCTCAGTAAGCGAGAATGACACTTATTCTTTGATGGAAGGAGTAGCAGCACTGCATTAAAGTATAGTTGAACAGGCCCACTAACATTTTTTTATAATAACTCGGTCCTATAGAGGAATCATTCATCCTAATTTAAACAATCTTAAGTTTGATTAAATTTATATAAAAAATATTAATATTTAAGATACTAAATAAATATCATTAAAATTTTTATAAAATATATCAACATTTTATATTTATTGTAGTCGGTGTCATAAACGTTGATATCCCTTGTTTAAAGCTAGTCTCATGTATATACTACTAGTTGTCACGTAAGGCTATTCATATTATGAGTTATGTGTTAAAAGTTAAAATAATTGGAAATTTTGTTTTAGTAATTAATTATCTTGCAGTACCGTGGAAGGCGCCCTTATATTATACACCTAAATTCTGAGCTCTGATATCAGCCTGGTGCCCTGGTGCATAATTGTTTTGAGAATTCCTATGTTCACGATGAATTCCTAAAGGCGACTTGAGGAGGAACCCATGAGAACATTACCAACGATTTCCAAACAAACTACATCGACTTCTCTATGCCCATGGTCTCTTCGAACAGAACAAAATTCAGTGTACCACGCCGATACGTTCAATGGCGAAATGGTCTCTGAACTAACTTCGTATGGCGCTCTGATAGCCTAGGTAGAGTGGTTGACAGACATAACGCATTACGATCAGGGCCGTGCCGTCAAAATTCGAGGCCTTGTTTCAAACTCTAAAAGAGGCCCTACTGGCCTTAAAAAATAAAATGATATATGTATACATAGCAATGCAATAAATAAAAAATCATACCTATTTATTTTGTGATTGTATAATTTTTATTTGAACACAATATCATTCTCTGAGTGTTCTTTAAATTATTTAACATAATTGAAATAAAAAGACTTGTTTTCACTTGTTGAGTAGTAATTTGTGATCCTCGAAAAAAAAGAGAGCGGTAATTTGTGTTTTTTATCGGATGTGAGTGTATGCACCATCGACCGTCTTGCGCAATACAACAGTTCTGCATCTACTTATAGCAACGAATAATTATTCATTAACATAAAGAAATATTTGTATCGATAAATATAAGATAATTAGCCAATTAGATAATTACCTTCCACGAGTTCAGGACTTTAGGAATCAGGAATTTACCCCTTGTGACCTACACCTGGGCGCTGGCCTCCAGACCTCCATCCGGCTTGCAGCTTGCTTGATCACGGAGATGGAGAGACAGTGAAGCCAGGATGGGAGAGCCGGGGAGACGGATTGCTGTAGATGAATGCCATGCGCCGACTTGCTTGATCATGAAGACGGGAGACACAGGAAGCCAAGATGGGACTACGGGAGAGCCAGGAAGATAAATCGACGTAGATCGATTCAGGTAGCGCGATATAGGAAGAGACGTAGTATCAAGAGTAATCTAAAAGTCAGGGTTTAATGCGCCATAATTTTTTGGGCCTCTTGGAATTTTGGGCCTGTACGAACGCACGGCGTGCACGCCCGCCGGCACGGCCCTGATTACGATGTACAAACCACGAAGTTTATTACTGTAATTCTTGTCGTTGACTTTGACTACCAAATTTCACCTCTACCCAGCAACATCTCGGAGTCAAGATCTCTTGTTCAAGGGGGAAAAAACGATCTCCATTTGCAGGGAAAGAAAGAAAGAAAGATAGCAGGAGAAGTAGAACAGACGGAGGAAGTAGCCATGGCGGCGTCGATCGAGCTGACCAAGGAGTACGGCTACGTGGTGCTGGTGCTCGTGGCGTACGCCGTGCTCAACTTCTGGATGAGCTTCCAGGTGGGCAAGGCCCGCAGGAAGTACAAGGTGTTCTACCCAACCATGTACGCCGTCGAGTCGGAGAACATGGACGCCAAGCTCTTCAACTGCGTGCAGGTTCGTGCGCCCAAGACTCTGCTGTCCAGTCCTCATCGAACCGCAACTGGAAGCTGCTAATTCTATTTTCCTGTGTGGTTGCTTGTGAGCGCAGAGAGGGCACCAGAACTCGCTGGAGGTGATGCCGCTCTTCTTCGTCATGCTGCTGCTGGGCGGCCTTCAGCCAGGGGCGGAGCTAGGATTTGAGCATAGGGGGCCATGCAAATTGGCAATAACCATGCATGTTAAAATATATACACGTGACAAAGATGTACATAACACACAAATAAACGTTTATGTTGCGATACAAAAGAAAACAGAAAAAACTAAAAAATAAAGGGAGTTTAATTAGCCTCAGGCATCTAACCTTTACCCAATCAATCTAATTCTTTGACAGATTAAAGAATTACGGTAATAACAAGTAGTTAAACAGGGCCAAAACTAATTAGCACTAGATCCTAAATGTTAAATGGCAAACAATCAGTTACTTGTCATTTAGCTTTGGACAAAACGGTCCTTAAACGGTAGACGATTAAACAGAAACATCATACCACTATGTAGCATTTAAATTTTAAATATTGACCAAACATGCTAATGCCAATTGAAGATCGATTTTGAAGGATTAAACAAGAAAAAGCACGGATTTCAATTAACTAGCTAATTAGAGTGTGTGGTACAGGGATAAATTAATGTTTGATAAGCAATACCGAAAACAAAAAGATATGGAGAAAATATTAGAAAGACCTAATTTTTATTTATCTAAAATATTATTAGATATTAATATGGAGTAAGAACAAAAAAATTATAGTACTAATAGTATCATTAACTAGCTAATTAGATAATTAAGCTTCTAATTTATAGGGTATATTATGGGAGTTATGGGAAGGTTTGGGGGTGCCAGGCCCCCCCTTCCCTCCGCCACTGCCTGCAGCACCCGGTCGTCGCCGCCGGGCTCGGGGCCCTCTACACGGTCGCGAGGTTCTTCTACTTCACTGGATACGCCACTGGCGTCCCGGCTAACCGGATGAAGATTGGGTGCGTCTTCTTCTTAGCAAAAGCTCGCCGTGACCCGTGAGATTGCATTGCTATGGTTGTCCATAAAGCCATAACGTTGGTGGTGCACACTGCAGGAGGCTGAGCATTCTAGCGGGGGTTGGGCTGATCATCTGCACGGCATTGTTCGGCATCAACCTGGTCGTCAGGGAGATGCTCTGAGTTCTTTTTTTTCGCGATCGGACGTATAGCCCGTTTTTTATTAAGAGGAAGTAGAGGTTGTTAAACAGTTACAGCAACAGGCATCTCGGTAATCCCAGGATTACCAAGACCCCCAAGCACCCAATACAAGAAAACAAGCAAGAAAGACGGAAGGGAGAGGACCCTTCATCACAGACCTAACCGACTGAACCTGCAGAAAAAATTCAACGCAAAGGCTGCCTACTCCGAAGACGAAGCCGCGGTGGCAAAGCATCCACCGAAAGAACCAAGATAACGGCGACAACGGCGACCGGTAGCCGCCTGTGATCAACCGAACGACAAAGATCGGCAACTCCAACGGCGACCGGTAGCATTGTGAACCGAAAGCGCTGCGAAGGCAACATCAACGGCGACCGGTAGCCACTATGAACCCCGCGACTGTGGCTTTAACATCAACAATGACCGGTAGTCATTTGTGACCAACCGAGCGGCGCAGCAGCAACATCTACCGAGGCGGGGCGGACCAATGCGAAGAGTAGAAAGAGGCACACGCAGCACAATCTGATGAGGGCGACCTCCGTGAACGGCGTGGGAGGAGCAGGCGGAGTGTAGCTGGCCTGGCAGCCGAGCTGTGGAGGCGGACGGAGCGAAGCACGGCAGCAGGAGCCTCCAACGAGCGCCTTCAAGAAGGGCGGCGACGTCGCGCAGACACCAACGTCGTTGATAGAAGCACACGGCGACTTTCATCCCAGAACCATCCCGGCGTGGTGAGTAGAAGCTTCGATGACGCTTCGAGAAGGAGAATGACGCGAGACAGCGCCGCCGCCACCGCCCCGAGCAAAGCTGGGCAGGGTGTTCACCCAAGCATGGTTTCTCCACACCACAGGAAAGGGGACGCCGCTGTGCCTAGGGGCGCCCAGGCCGGGGCTGCCGCCACGCTTCTAGCGGCGACGGGACCCGTGGCAGTGACGAAGCGTGGCCACCGCAAGGCCCGGCACCGAATGCCAGATCCACAGCAACCGCATCGAGTTCTCAAGCTTCGAGTGACACTAGGCTGAACTCTGGAGTAGTCCAAGGGGGCTTGAAGAATGTGGATCATACATTCCTGTTCCTAGTTTTATTCCCTTGTCGAATAAAGTTCATTCTTGGTTTTGCTGTGAAGGATTGTACCACGAATGTTCTTTTCTTCTGCACCAGTGTTCAAAGAAAGTGATACCTGTCTTCATCTGTTTTGCCAGAAAAACAAACACATGATCCTATTTGCTCTTACCATCTGAGCTCTATTTTTTCTCTAGTAAACTGGTAAAAAATGTACTCCTTCAATTCCAAATTGCAAGACATTTCTTGATACATAGTTTTGTTATGCACTTAGATATGCATTGTGTTTAGATACATAGTAAAAACAATGTAAAAACCAAAACGTCTTGAAATTTGAAACCAAGAACGGCGTACCCAGTGCAGAGAGCTCCCGCTCTGTGCGGGGTCTGGGGAAGGGTGTCAGTGACAAGCCTTACCCTCGCCTGTGCAATGGAGGAGACCGCGACTCAAACCCGGGACCTTCCGGTCACAGGCGGTAAGACTCTACCGCTTGCAGCAGGCCCGCCCTTCTGCTCACAACATGCTTGCGCACACCTTCGTACGGCAAGACTTCGTCATCCTCATCTTCCTTCGTGCTTCTACGCTTGGCAGTAACGAGACCATCCTCCAGATCGTCGAAGCCTCTGCTCTTGGCAGTGGTTCTTCTCTGGTCCGGTTTCAACCTCATGCTTGCCCCACGCTTGTGGAACCCTTCATAGGGAGAGACATTGTCATCATCATCACTCTTCTGATCAATATAGTCAAATCTTCTACTCTTGCCAGCCCCTCTCGTTTTTCTCAATCCCAGCTGACTATCCTGGGTATCATCCTCAGGGCGGTCCCGATTGCACTTCTTGCAGAAAATGTTGCGTCGGAAGTTAACAAAGTCACATCTGTAAAGGGGGGCAACGTCTGATTAGCATGCGAAAAGTGGAGAAAGTGACAGAGAAGATTAAATTGCCACATACGAGGGGCACTCCCACTCTCCAGGATTGAGTTGCCTCTTCGGGCGAGGTTCTTCACATTTAAAACAAATCTTGTTGCGAGAGAAGTTCATAAACTGACACCTAGGAGGCACAGACAGGGTGATGCAAATCAAACGGTGCCGGAAAGAAATGGAAGAAAAAAGGTATAATGTAAGGTGAAAGTTACTGTGTGCAGATCCAATCGCCCATTTTCATTTCAGCCATGGCTGCTTCTATTTTCTTTGGTCCATCTGCTTTGCATTCCTTACAGTGACGATTACGAGCAAAATTTAAGAAGTTACAGCTGCCAAAGATGAGGGGAGTTTAAGAACATAATGCTATCAACAGTTGTTCCAAAGAATATAGAACGAACAAATGAAAAGAAAAACAATGAAGTGAACATGACAATAGCCCACAAAATGGCACAACCATTTGTACTGATGTGAACTAATGGTATGATAAAAAAAAAGGGCAGACCCAGTGCCGGAGGCTCCCGCATGAGTGGGGTCTGGGGAAGGGAAAAACCGAGGCAAGCCTTCCCCCCGCAAATCTGCGGAGAGGCTGCTTCGAACCCACGACCTAGTGACTCAGTGAGACAGCTCTCACCACTGGCCTGCCCTTCTAATGGTATGATAGTATTAAGAAAAAGTATGTAGAATGATCACACAAAAAAGTATCATAAAGATTGGTTTTGAAGATATTGTCATCATGTACAATGAGGATTTACACATCAAGATATCGCACACGGATTTTAAGTTAACTTGAAACAGTTTTGGTTATATACTTCACCTTCTAAGATTTTTGCATCATCTATGGACATAAGGAGGTCGAAATTCTCTCAATACTAGACATGGTTAGCACACATACTTCCAACATGGATGAAACTTCCAAAACTTGGTTCAAACCTCTACACATATACTGTTACCTTACAAGAAAATATAAATTGGTGAAAGTGCTGTTCAGCAAAATATCTAAGAATGCTATGACAGAATGCTTCAGGATTGAAATTATATAAGATGACATGGAAACAGCTTATGTCGTTAATGAAAAAGTCCAATGTGTCAATATGATAGTGTGCATTTCAGCTATGCAAAATCCGACACAAAAGGTATGCTCTCCTTTTTTTTCGAAACCAAGAGGAATGCATATAGGAACCAACAAAAAAGTTCGATGAGAATGCTAAAAAAACTGGGTGTCCTGCAGAGCTTTAGAATCAATCTTGATTGGATTGGAAACAGCCACTAAAAAGGTCAACACTTCCTTATGGAGTTATGGGTATCAACAATCCAAAGCATTGCAAGTGATGAAGTAATGAATAAGCATATAAACCAGTCAACCACTTCCATGGAAGATGAAACTAATACTTTTTAATGCATCTTGGAGGAATCCCGATGGGAATTAGTAGTCAATGACCAACGTAAGAAATGATGGATATAAAGATGGCCTTCTGAAGAATGTTGTGGTGAAGTAAAATGCCATGATCTTCTAACTGTTGCAAACACATAGTGTACAATAACAGCTCAACAGCGTATTTAAATCCATGCAGAAATAACTCGTGTCCATGGTCTCTAGCTTTTACTTTCTATAGGTCGAGATAAATCATAAACAACATTACAAAAATAAACCCCCATTCCTTCCCTCCCATGAATGTGTCATAAGATTCAACTTGCATAACATAAAGAACTTACTTAGTGCACAACCAGTCACCCTTCTTCATTTCAACTGCAGTTGTTTCTCTCCCCTTCCCATCTGAGCCCTGAGACTTCCTAGAAGCTTGAAATGCAGGTTTCGGAAGAGATTCATCGATTGCTGTGTCGCTAAGTTCAATAAGCCGTGAGAGAAGCTTTTTTGCAGATTCTTGCACGCTTTCGATAACTGAGTTTTCTCCTGAAAGGTTTTTATCCATTGCGTAACTTAGCAGTATGCGAACAACATCAACAGTCTTAACTTCAGCCTTGTCCTTTGGAGTGATATAAGCTTTATCACAAGATGCTTTAAATTTGCAAATGCTGCATGCCTGGTATTTGGGCACAATACAATTATATTGTTATTGTGTAGTTAAATTTAAAACTGAAGTGGGAAAGCTATTAACATTATATATTTAGAAATGACAGTTAACCATACATCTTCTTCTTTGACCATCACAAACTCTCTCAACCTTTTTGCAGAATTGACGGGCTTCCGATTTTTATTAGGACATCCAGACATGACAATAGCTTGAATATCCTGCTTGGGAAGCGAGCTGCAGCAGTGAAGCACTCAAATAAAAATCCAGTTTAGCCAGAAGATATACAACGCTTGCTGCCAGGTCATGGGTGTGAAAACCCAGTTCATGACATAAGCACTGAAGACAACCATGACCCAAATGTTGATATTTTAAATAACATTACAAGTTTATATGCGTAACTTTTAATTCCATGTCAATCAGAAGTTGGTAGTTATGAAGAGGGGTGGGGTGGGGGCATAATTCAAGAGTAACATAGTTAGTGAGCGTTCTACTAAATATCCTCATACGTACGGCAGACATTTAGTAGATATTCTTCAGTCGACTGAGTAAAAATGCAGGAAGCGTTGATATAATGGAAGGCATGCAAGTGGAGAATTATTGGCTATCACTATTTGGATCCTATTTCATGAGCACACCAAAAGGCCTAATTAACAATTTGCGGCTGCATCCGAAATTTTGCTATCACTAAATCAGTGGCATGATTATTTGTGCAGCATACGAAAAACTGAATTACGAGATCCGTGTATTCTAATGATTTCATAAAGTACGAGACCGAGAAATTTTATTCCGGCACCTGAGGAGATCGAAGCGGTCGCGCGCAAATTTGAGGCACGCATTCTTCACCCTGTTCTCGTCCCTAAAAGGATAAATGTCTACCGAGGCCACCGCGCTATCCGCCACAGACACCACCGTGTTACCGGAAGCAGACGCTGCTGCGTTCTCAGATGCAGCTGCAACCGCCGCATCCCCATCTCCGGCGGCTCCCTCGCCAGAACTCACGCTGGAGGAGGGCACGCCTTGCTCGAAGTACCCCTTGGCCCGCAGCTTATCGAGGAAGTCGCCCCACTCCGGCCACGGGTGGCCGGCGGATACAGCCGCCTCGGCAGGGTCGGCGGCGACATCGACAACCGCGGGGACCGCGGAGCAGAAGCGGAGGGAGTGGAGCGGGCCCGGGTGGCAGCGGGAAGCGGTGGGGAGTAGGTAGCTGGAAGCGAGGCGGCAGGAGCGGAGGAAATAGGAGCTCAGAGTGAGCTTTAGGAGCCTGGAGGAGGAGGCAGCCATGGCGGACGAGTAGCGGCGGCCGTGAAGATCAAGCGAACATGTAGGGGAATGGGTGGAGAGGATTAGGGTTTAAGAGGTTTTGAGACTCTGTGGCTCACTGATCGTTAGTAACCCTCTTTGTCAATGTCAATCAACGAAAAAACAGTGTGAAAGATACTGCCTCGTCCATAAAAAAGTACCCCCTCTATTCTAGATTATAAAACATTTTGATTTTTTAGGTATATATTTTTATTATATATCTAGTCATAGAATATATCTCGGTATATATAGTAAATATAAAATATGTAGAAAAATCAAAACAACTTATAATTTTAAAGGGAAGAGTACAATTCTAGTATTTGATTGTATCAACCAAACTTCTATAAGGTAAATGAAAACCTATTTAGATCTAGATGATTATAATGATCAACTAAAATAATGTAATTATTATCCAAATAGATTAGATTATAAGTAGTTCAATATAATCAAAACACTATATTACAATAATCCTCCTTGACAAAGTTGTCAAAATATGGGTGAATCCACGATTAGGTATCAGATAAATGGCAAGAACACCAATACCTCTTTTAAACTCCAAGCAGAACTATGATTTGCAAATAAAAAGTGCATCCAAATATTTTGTGATTCTAAAACCAATGTATTTTACAAAATAATAGTATCTAAAAATACTGAGTCTAATGGGAGCCTTATCCCTTTATCGATAAGCCGACTAGATTAGCTGATCAGGGTGGAACCAACTAGCAGATCAATAGTGGTTTTGTCATTTTGGCTTTTCTAGATACGTTGATTTTATCAAATATCTAGATATAATATATATCTAGATGCATAACAAAATTTATGTATCTAAAAAAACTAAAAATAACTTATAATTTCTAAAGGAGGGAGTAGTTTGGTATGTTTGCCTAACTTGCTCACCTCGCTTAATTAAGCAAGACCAGCCTTGCCAACGTGGGTGAGTAGATTGCCTCATGCAAGTTTGTCTAGAATCCAAATAGTTAGTCTCATGTGACTTCTTGCTCGGCAAGGTGAAGCAAGACACAGCAACAAAAAAACTAATGGTCCGTCTGGTTCGGTCATGAGCGGTGAAAAGGCAGTTGTGACTCATGAGTTATGAAAAAAGCTGTAAGCTATTTTGTTAAAACATCTATAAAATCCACTCTCTCCCTTTATTTTCCTTGGAGCAATTATAAACTATCTTTTCAAACTATTTGAAAAAAAAACTGAAAACCAAAAGTAAAATAGTGTCCGAAAAATTATACTAAAAAATAGGTTCATGTTCTACCGATTTAATTAGCGTTTGACTTTTACCGGTAGAAGCGCTTTTCAGCCGAACCAAACACGGTCTAAACAGCCCCACCACCGTTCACGACCTGTTTGGAACGCAGGAGTTTTATCGAAATTAGTTCATTTTGTGGAAAAAAAATACAGGAATAGAAAAAAAAAATCAGGCGTTCCAATCAGTTACCAGATCTACCGCTGTACTGTACCTGTACGCGCGGATCATACACGTCGCTCGCAAAGAAGCGCATCGCTCCCCGCGCCGCACCAAACGACACCCAGGTCCGCGCGTCAGCGAGCCACCGGCCCGCAAACCCACTCGAGCACGCACGGCGGCACGGCATCGCCCACCGGCCACGGCCAGACCCAGAGGCGACAGAACCCACGGATTCCGGGCGAGCCAACCAATCCACCCCCCCCCAAAACCTAACCCAAATCGGCCGCCCTCCGGCCTCCGCCCCTATCCCGTCCCGTCTCGCCCTAGCCGTCTCCATCCCACCACCTCCCCCCGTCCGTCCGGCCGCGCCGCGCCGTGCGCGACCCAATCCACCACGCCACTTCCCTCCCGTCCCGTCTCGTTCTCGTCGCACCTCGCCCCGCCCGCCCGCAGAGAGGGGGCGCGCTCGCTCGCTCGATCCGTGCGCGCCAGCCAGCGCCATGGCCTCGGACCAACGGGCCCTCCCGGTCCCCGTCCCGCCCAACCCTAACCCGACCGCACCAGCCGACCCGACCCCGCCCTCGGCCTCCGCCGCGCGCAAGCTCCCCATCAAGCGCCGCTCCCCGCGGCCGTCGTCCTCGCCCCCATCCTCCTCCTCCCCGGCCTCCTCCGACCCGCTTCGCGCGCCCGCGCCCGGCGGCGGCGGTGGATCCGACCAGCAGCAGCCTCCCTTCAAGTTCCAGCGCATCTGGTCCGAGTCCGACGAGCTCCGCTTCCTGCAGGGCCTCCTCGGCTGCGGCGCGCAGGGCCTCGTCTTCCCGCGCGACCTCAACGTCTTCTACGACCGCTTCTCCGAGTCCATGCCCCAGCCCTACACCCGCGCCCAGCTCTCCGAGAAGCTCCGCCGCCTCAAGAACAAGTTCCGCAGCATGTCCGCGCGCGTCGCGGGGGGCCTAGACCCGGCTCGCCTCGCGCCGCACGACCGCGACGTGCTTCACCTCTGCTCCAGGCTGTGGGACCCCGCCAACGCCGCCACGTCGCCCTTCGCGGCCAGCGCCGGAACGTCCGGGAACAAGCGCCGCCGCGCCAACCCGCGTGGCACGCCGCCCCTCCCCAGATGCGTCTGGGGATAGTAACTCCCATGACTACAATGGGATTGGCTCCTCTGCTCCCGGCTTGTTTCCGGATGGTTCCAATGGAGAGGATATGTTTTACCTTGAGCAAGAAAGCGGGCACCTCGGTGATCATGAAGGTGCTGCTCTGGTAGCAGATAGCAGATTTGGTGTTATTGTGCAGGAGCAGCCTGAGGCCGTGGTTACTCTCCCGAATGGGAACAATGGAATTGGCAGTGAGATAAATGTGGAGTGTAAAATGGTGGTGCCGTGCAGCAATGAGCATCGAATGGCAAATGCTGTCCTAGATGTGTTTGAGGAATGCCTGAGGGACGCAAAGAGTAACGGGATTATCAATGGTGTCAATGTGGACGGGAGAGCTGAGGAAAGTGAGCTTGCCAAGCGGTGGAGAGCGCAGAGGATGGATGAGCTTGATGTCTTAAGCCGGAGGCTGAGGTTGCTCGTTGAGTATGCTGCAGCGGCTGGGCAGTGAAGCAGAGATTTTGGTGGTTTTGGTGATGTGCCTCCCACCCTTTGCCCCGTTTGTATAGAAGCTAGGTTATTCTGCTATATGCTTTGTAATGTCTTCCTCAGTTGGATCCTTGCCTTTAGAAAGCCTACTATATTTGCCTATGTACCCTCGAGTTTAATAATTTCAGCAGCATAATAATCTATGATTTTAGCACTGTTATTCGCATGGCTTCCTGCTGTTGATATAGATGATAGCTCTGTTAATGTAGCTTCAGGCTTTCACATTCCATTTTTCTTTGCGGATGTTTCGACCACCGACGATTAAATTTGTATTTGCGCGTCTGGCTCGGATGGTGTGCTCGGAGGACACAAGGGTTTATACTGGTTCGAACGGAACGTCTCTACATTTAGTTTGCTGCTGCTCGTGTTACCGGCACTTGGTTTGTAGTAGGGGCTACAAACAAGCGAGAGAGGGAAATGATTCCAAGTCTCTGGTGAAAGGAATGAACGGGTACTGAGAGCTCGATCGCTGCTAAGCCGTGTGCTCGTGTCGTGCTCTTGTGTTTTTTATCTCGTGGTCCGGTCTTGTGCGGATCTGCCCCGATCCCCTTCATGTGGCGCCCTGCTTTTCTTTTTATAGGCCAAGGGAAATCGCGGGTTACAGCGGAGGAAAAGAAGAAGAACGCGAGAGAGGAAGGCTTCCAGGATCGTCGGATCCTTCTTCTCCTTCATGCGGGTCCCGCCGATCATGTAGATGTCAACAGGGACGGCTCCACGTCGTGGCCCAGTCCGTCACTGGCGCCATGCGCAGGCGTCATCTGCCGATCATGGCGTTCCATCCCGTCCCGACGGACGTCGTGGTAAACTGACGCGCCTGTCAGCGTTCGTATGAGGGTTAGACAGAACAGCACCGGTATGCCTGACGCTGTTTTTGATGTGAATCCTCAGGTATGCCCTGTCATGGCCGAAGTTTTTTTAATTTTAGCCATTTTTTGAATATAATTTTAAATCTAACACTGTCGGTTTTTTTAAAAATAACACTTTTGGCCGCGCCTATTGCCTTGACGTGGCCAAATGCCTGTGCCGCGGCGCGGCACAGGGTTGACGTGGCGAGGGCCGGCCTGGGGGACCGCTGACGTGGCAGATCCTGCCGCGCCACCGACCTTGGCGCGGCAGCGCCGCGTCCTGATCCGTGGCGCGGCAGGACCATATATATACCGCCCGCGCAGCCACACCACCTGGCAGCTGCGCCTGCCGCCCGCACGGAGTACCTGGATGGTTGAATCGAAATGCGTCGCACACGTATTTTGTTGAGTTTTTTATGGCCGAATAAAAAATTTGATAAGCCAATGATAAGTTTTTCATCTTTCATAATACGGTTATGCACCATTTAAACTAATCGATTATGAAAAATTGTCACCGGGACTATCGGTTCCTGAACTAGTTGGTACTTAATCCCTGCCGCGACTCAAAAGAAACGAATAAGAAGCAAGTTGACAAGTTGCCACATAACATATTCATTGTTTTGACATAAGTTTGAGATAACATAACCAAATAACCACGCAAGTTTCGGATGCCAATATTCGTTTGACCTAACAAACTAAGATCTAGGAGTGTAAGGATCCCTCGGACGCCTCTGTCTCTTCGGATTTGTTGGCAACACATTGGGAGTGTAGCCAACGTCGGTATGGTCGCGTCGACGGAGCGTACGGCTCGTACCCTACAGGTATATGATACGCGCGATTACTTATGATCGTTAGTTCATGGAGCATACGTATTGAAACAAACTATCTTTGTTAGTACCTGTGAGGCTCCTTGGGTGCCAAGCGGGGCACCACCTAGCTGAGACATGCCGATCTCGTCCTACGGCCATTCGTCCCACTGGTCGTGCTGTCCGTGGAAGCCCGGGGGTTCGTCGTCGTCGTCATCGTCCTCCTCCTCGTCCTCGATTACAGGGTCCTTCCCAGCGCTATGATGTGGTGGTGTACGCATCGTGGAAGTGGCACCTGTCATCGGCTGAGAAGAGCCAGCTGGTGTCCTCAAAGAGGCTGAAGACGTGCCACCCGACCGCCCCGGGAGTGGCGGTTCCTCATAAGGAGTGTCCATGCAGCTCAGCTTCTGAGCTAGCTTCCTGAAGCTCTTCTTTACCTTCTGCATAAATAGACGTTAAAGTTAGTTCATTACACAAACGCATATACACTAAAGAAATATTTTTAAAACGGACAAGTTTATGTTTACCTCCACAAAAGCCGCGAGAATGCCTGGCCCCTGTCCTATAGACTCGTGAAGCCAGAACGCTGCTTCGTTGGACAGCCTTGACAATTGTGTCGCCTGGGTACAGAAACACGGTTGAACAGTTTTAGTACACTTACTTAAAACCAAAAGGATAACAAATTGTACCATTCAAGTATCCTACCACGTATCTTTGAAGCGGGGCTCTCTGTAGCTGTGTGTCCTCCCTAGTGGTAACGTCGTACACATCTTCGATGACATCTTCCTCTGAGTCCTCGTCAATCGCCACGTCAGTGTACGGGGGCTTGACATGTGTCCTCGTAGACCTGTGAAGCCACCGTAGGTACTCGTTGAAGGTGTGCTGGTCATGTGGAGGACCCGCAAGGACCGCATGTGGTACCTGGTCTGCCACAACTGGATGTACGGGCTGTGTGTCACGCGCCAATCCTTGGTCTTGTACCTCTTCCTACGGTCAAACCTGCAACAAAACGATGTTAGTTGTACCAAACACACCTCTGAATTATAGCATTGTTATTAGTCGATAACGCACCCGTGCAATTCTTGGTTGGTGTAGTAAAACGGTGGTGGGCAGGCTGTCATTCTTCCAAACTGTCTATAGACCCGGATAGGCAAGTGAATCTCGACCATATGAAAGAAAATAAGAGGAACGTCGCAGCGATACTCGTGTGACTCGTCCCTAGTGACAGGACTCAGGTAGCCCTGAAGCTCCGGAGAATCCCAAGGACACCAAAACACCTGAAATTTCGTAATTGTGTTAGGTTGTGATATACTGTACATCGAAGCAGACACTGGTATGATAGTATAGAGAGCCTAACCTGGTGCTGTGTCAGGACGTCGAGACCGTCCATGTACTCCCTGTACTTGCGCCACGCATTCCCTCTAACTAACTGTGCTTCCGTCCAGATATACAGAGCTGTAGGGAGTGTATCATGCCCGTTCCATCGCTGCATTGAACACGATAATGAATTAGCAACAAATAATCTCATCATATCTAACTGCCTAGAAAATATAATGAACCGAAGTACTTACCGGTAAACCATTATTAAAGGGCCTCCCAACAGGCAATCGTTCCCAACACCAAACTTAGAGTAGGTACGAGCAACCCCCAAGGTTCGCATGTCCTGAGGTGCGACGACAAGCAACGCATAGCTGTCGATACGTCCATGCCAGGACTGCGCTGCCCCAGCTGTACCCCGCTATGTTCTCCCACGGCTGGCGAAGTATGTCAATGAAGATCCAGCTGATGGTGTTGCCTAAGGCGTCTGGGAAGAGGAAAGCACCAAGAAAGTGACAGAGCCACACTCGAGCGAACCTGTCAATCTGAGCCTCCTCAGCTTGTGGGTCCAAGTAACCAAAGCGCTCTATGATCCAGGACGACGAAACACCGGAAGTTTTCCTGTAATTGATCAAAGAAAATGAGACCCGATGCCAGCTGTAAACAATGCAAGTATTAAATAGGCTTGAAATTACTCACTTATTTTTTTAGAAGCATCATCGTCCGGTGGAAAAAAACCAGTGAACTAAGCCACCAGCTCCCTCCAGTGATCGTTGTCAACTATCCCTGTCACTGGAAGTCCCCCCAAGCGAAGTTCTAAAATAGCCTTCACGTCCTACAACATCATGGTCATCTCGCCACAAGGTTGGTGAAACGTGTGGGTCTTAGACCTCCACCTGTTATAAGAATAGAACGACTGTTAGTTGCCTTAAATTTATTACAAGAAAGTTTACGTACAAATAATGCACTCGCACCTGTCTACAGCTACAGTAAATAGTGTTGGGTCAAGGGGCGGAAGACCATGGTTCGCAACACGGACAAGCTCGGGGAAGCCGGCACACCATATGTACGGCGTATAATGCTCGTCCCACTGATGCGCCCTGGTGTGCGTGCGGGGCCTCAAAGGAGGCAAGGACACCTCTGCGTCGTTGTCACTCAAGATGTGTGCTCGATGCTGGTCATCGTACTCCACCTCAAGAATGGGGTACAACGGGTGCTGCGTGGGAGGGGCCATCCTTTTTATAAATTGATAAATAAAGCGTTAGAGTATTCAAATTAACAAAATTCAAGTTAACATTAGTAAGTTCACAAACAAATCACAAACAAATTCACTAACCTAACTAACCTAAATCCCTAAACCCAAAATCCTAAGTATACTAGATAATAAATACATAATCAATCCATATAAAACTTTGGTTCCAAAATTACAAGTAATCTCTCCGTCTCAAAATAAATACACATCTTACTTCTCATGTAGTCAAATATGTTTAAGTTTGATCAAAATTTAAAAGAAACGGTATCAATATTTATATCTCCTAATAAGTTTATTATGAAAGTATACTCCATGCTTAATGTAATAGTACCTATTACGAAAGGTACTTCCTCCGTCACATAGCAATAGTCATTCTAAGATATCGCAAAGACACTAATACTCAATGAAAATAGCCTCGATGCCCCTAGATGCTCCTAGAAAAAGAAATAAAAATAGCCTCGATGCCCCTAGATACTCAATGTAATAGTACCTTAGGAATACAAAAAATACTAACTATACTACATAATAATAAAAATAATATGAAATCGAGACGGGGTACCTTAGGAGCGGGCGGCCTTGACGCGCCGACGTTCATGGCGCGGGGGGAGCGGCCGGGCGCGGCGTGGGTGAGCGGCCGAGGCTGGGCCGGGCGTGCGCGGGCGGGGCGAGGCCGGGCGGGCGCGTGCTCGGCCGCTGGCGACGGTGGCGGCGTTCAGGCGGGCGGGCAGAGCAGGGTGCGTGC